TCTTAATTTATTTTTCTTCTTTTTTGTGGCAAAAATATGTGCTCAAAGAAATACAAACACGCTACATTTTTTAGAACAACTACACTTTTTGTATGCATTATGTTTGTTTGAGACACACTACAGTGCAAATCGTCTTGGAGAGCTGACAGACACCCATATATTTGACAGCCCAAATACAAACAAAGAAAAAAAAATAAACCAATCTAAAAGAAAGAGAACAAAAAACAATAGGAGGCTGCCCACGTACAAGCAAGAAAAAGAAGCCCAACACGAGACAAGCAATTTGGAAGAACAAAATAAAGGACAAAAGCAGCCCACCAAAGAAGAGAAGAAAAAAAAGACAAAAAGAAAGCCCTGTACACGTTAAACAAGCCCAAAGAGAAACGAAGGAACGACAAGGAAATCGAACCGGGCATCTGCAGAACGTTGAAAACTTTGATAGGACTGATATGCAAAGAGTAACTCTAGTATGTCACCATAATTTGGATCTCCATCACTATAAGAAGTGTGCTCCATATTGGAGGCTGCTGGGCTGTGCGCAAACACATGATCACCAAACGCCAGCCTTTATATTTGTTCTTCTCATCCGCTTTCGTTATTTGGTTTAATTTAAGCGACATTTGATCAAACCAAATGGTTCATAATCGTCATCAGGCATGATAAACATAATTAGCAACTATATTTGCATTACATATATTTTGCAACTTGAATTGTCGTTAAGCGACATTTTCACAATATGCAATGTCTATAATCGACATTGCTAGCTATTACTATCTACACTGCTTCGTCGCCGCCACCATCAAGTCGACGTCCTTGTCCGAGCCCGACAGCTCATCGATGTAGGCGAAGTCGGTATCCTCCTCGAAACAATGAGCGGCGACTGTAAGTTTGTCTTCCTCCTCCTAGTTGATCGTTACGGGGCCGAAGCGGTCGCGGATGTGCTCCCCTTCGTGGTGGCAGACCTTTGCCTAGAGCTTGGAGGGTTGCAATACGACCCCGAGTGGGTCCTGGGGATCAGGTTCGAGCTTGGCCTCGATAGGGATGTGCACAAACGGGACAAGGACGCCACGGGGCCGATGGGACATCGTCGACGACGGTGATGAGGGTCCCAAGGCTCCAGATCAATGAAGTCCATTAGACTAGAGGCGCTCAATCCACGGGAGGCGCCAGAAATTGGCAGCCGCCGCCAATGGAGCCGCCAGTGCCACACATGTTGCAGGAGGATGTAGCGGTTGTCGCGACTAGTTCGCTGTGAAGAGAGTTTGCACAACCTGGGATAGGAGGGTCTCGTATGATAGCACGTTCAACTAATAGGTTGTGTCAAAAGCAGTTTGGGATGCTCTCGGGATCGCACCAGATATCAATTTCGCTAGTATGATTGATCGGCCCGGAGCAGAGACCATGGAGTTTATCCTATGCGACTTACCCTATCGGAGATTGTATTATGGACCGTTGGAGTTGCCGGGGCTCATATCTATGTTGTATTGGTACCTTTGGCGGCAACGTCGGCAATTCGTTCGGGGAGAAGACATTTTCTCTCCAAAAAGGACTACGCCGATGGTCCTTGCTTTAGTTCTGAATTTTTCTCGTGCAACGAAGATAAAAAAACACGCCTAAAATCAACAAGTGCCTGGTGTTTCTCTCTGGACAAAATTTTTTAAATGTTAATGCATCATTTACCGAGGGTGACTACGCAGGCTCATGTGGAGCTGTGATCTGTGATCATTGGGGAAGTTTTATAACGACATCTACGACAAGACTGGAACATATAGCTGACGTGTTCATAGCTGAAGCAGTTGCCTTGCTTGAGGGGATGAAGCTAGCAAGAAATACGGGATGCTCTAATCTAGTGGTGAGATCGGATAACAACACAGTGGTGGATGTTATAAACTGCAACCAAGGGTATTCTATGGTGGTAGCGCCAGTTCTTGATGATTGTCGTAGTATTTTACTAAATTTCGGGAGGGTTAATATTGATAAGTAGAGAGACAACTTATGTAGCTCATGAGTTGGCTAGATAAGAACGTGCAAATAACCCTTCTCTTTGGGTTGATGCCCCACCTGAGTTCATCATAAAACTGTTAGCGGACAATGTAACTATTATTTGATTAATAAAGTAACTCTTCTCGTAAAGAAAGGTTGTGTCACGGCGCGACACCATTGTCATGGTGAGTCGAGGTGTTGGCTAGGGGAGGAGGCAGCGAGGAGGAAGGGAGGTGTTGGCTAGGGTTTTGGAGATGGGACGCCTTGTCGTTGGGGTTTTATAGTCGAGGACCGCTGGAAGATGTTGTCATGTGCGTCCATCCAACAGACCATCATGGGAATCTGAGGCAGCAACCCATCGTTAATAGGATGGGTGGTTAGCGGTAACGTCACCCCTCGCTGGTGATTATCTACGACCGTGGCGCGGGGAGGGAGATGATGAAACTTTCTCGCATTGATGATGAAACCTATTTTTGGAGGCTGCGAGGTCATTTTGGAGTGAGCTTCACAAATTTTGCCTTTTGTGATGCATACAAGCGCCTTCACAGTCTAATCTATGGCCTGCTCCGGCTGCTAGGCATGTCACCTTGTCGGTCGACGGCTCGTTTTCCTTCGATGGAACTGCGGGTTTGGATTGATCCTAAGAAACTCAGACAGTGGATTGATCTTTGCAGCCTGCCGAACCTTTTCTTCTGTAACGATGCGCTTGAAGCGGAACTACATGCATTGAGAGAAGGTCTTGCAATCACCATGGAGCGATCAAACCAACCGGTGGTAATTCAGTCTGATCCCTCTATGGTTCTTTCTTCACCGGCCTCAGATATTTTGGACCGGGTCAGCATATGGTCATTTAATCTCGGAGAGTAAGTTTCTTTTAGTTGATAGAGAGTTTTTCCTTTAAAAATTGCTAAAAATCAAATCAGAGTAGCAGATCGTCTGGCAAACTATGAGAGGTTAGAGTGTAACATGATTTGTTGGCTACAGAATTGCCTAGCTTGTATCGCCGAGCTTTTACCAGCTGATTGTAACTCTGCTTTAAAAAAATTCGGCTACCATGGAATAAAACTCTCTTTCTTCCGAAAAAATAAAAAACTGCTATAATATTCTTTTTTCTTTTATTATTGGTCCTTGTGCTAGCAGTTATTGTGGAGTAAAAAGTTGCTCTAAGGCTGGTTGTAATGGATAGTATCATATACTAGTATCATGTATACCTGGCCATGGGAAGCCCGGTCCAGCCCGGCCCGAAAAATCCCGACCCTGCCCGGCCCGAAAAATCCCGACCCTGCCCGGCCCGACGCTGCTCCCGGGCCGGGCCCGGGCCCATCGGTTTTGCACTTTCCTGAAGGTCGGGTCGGGCCGGCCCGAAGCCCAACGGGCTTTTACGTGTTCGGGCCGGACTCGGGTCCAGAAAACAGGCCCGATGGCCGGGCCGGGCCCTGGCCTGGGTTTTTTGCGTCGGGCTTGGCTAGGCCCGGCCTGAAGCCCGGCCCGGCCCAAGGTATGGCTTGGTATAGTATCATGTATGATACTAGTCTATGATACTACATCCCTAATGCATAGTATCATATGTTGGTATCATAGAAGACTACATTTAGAGCATCTCCAAGAGCCGCGCAACACGCCGCGTACTAAAAGTCGTGATACATCGCCGGGTTAGCCAGCTTTTGCGCGCAGCGGTGCGCTGGCTCCAGCGGCCGCCGCAAATTAAAGCGCGCCCATGCCGCTTCAGCAGACGCGCTATATTTCAGTTTTTTCTACTACATATTTGGTTTTGTAGATAGTTCTTCTACTACATATTTGATTTCGTAGATAGTTCTCCTATTACTACTCGTCCGACTCGGACACTGTCTCAGTGATGTCCTCCTCCGACGTCGGAGCGTAGGCGTCAAGGAACCGCTCGTCGCCGGAGTTCCAGGAGGACGCATCTCCTAGCGCCTGGATGTATTTAGCGACCGCCGCGTTCGCTTGTCCTCGCGATAGTCGGCTCGCTCCTCTCTCCTCTTCGCCCTCCTCGCCCTCCTCTGGGCGAAGAACTGTTCCTCGTTGGTGTCTTTCGGGAAGCGATGACTCCACAGCGCCATGGCTTGCTCGTCCATCTCGGCCAGCCTGAGACGATGCTCCCACCTCCGGTGCTTGCGATGATCCTCGTCAGTGAGAAGCCGCGGGAAAGGCGCCAACTCCTGTGCGCGCTCCCGCGTCGCCACGTCGGCGAAGTTCATGTCCTGACGGGACCGCAGGAGGCGCCATGCCGCAGCGTCGTACGCGCGGGCGCCCTCCTGGGCGGTGTCGAAAGTTCCAAGACGGAGCCGCATGCCGCCGCCCGACCGAATCTCGGCGGAGTAGGTGCCGGACGGACGCACGCGAACGCCGCGGTAGCCCGTACATCCCCGACGCCGAGGCGGCATCATGGCGCGGTGGTGGCGTGTCGGTGGCAGAGCGCGGCAGGGGGCGATGGAGAGACGGATAGATCGGCAAAGGGCGATGGAGAGACGGAGAGAGCGGCGGAGGCGCTGCAATTTACGTCCGGCGCGCCAAATGTAGCGCGCGAGCGGCCGCCTTTTCCCTCGCGCGCGAAATCATTTCCCGCGCCCGCTAGTTTCGCGCCGCCGCTGGAGCGCGCGTAAACGTCCCGCGCGCGTTATAAAAGCCAATTTACCGCGCGCGCGTCTTTTGATGCGGTTGTTGGAGATGCTCTTATTGTCATGCATGACACAAAGTAGCACATTATTTAATATGATACAATATCATGATATGATACTCAAACCTTTCTTTCTCCATTTAATTCTATGCCATCTCATTAAAATTGCTTAGTTGACATGCATGATACTACCTATAATACCCATTACGCCTAACCTAATCAATTCTTAGAGAAATCTATGTTGCATGATGCTCCCTCCAACGCCAGAAGCTCTGCCGAAAACAAACACCAAAAACACAGGAGAGGGAGGCGACATCGATTCCTCCCGCGCCGCCGCTCCCTCCTGTCCTCCTGATCCGTCCGATACCCCGATACCCCGATGCCGTCGCGCTCGCTCCGCGTCGCCGTCATCGGCGCCGGGGCCGCCGGCCTGGTGGCGGCGCGCGAGCTGCGGCGCGAAGGCCACGCCCCCGTCGTGTTCGAGCGCACCGACGGCGTGGGCGGCACCTGGGTCTACGAAGCCGACGCCGACGCGTCCGCCTCGCCGGAGCCGCCCGTCACCCAGCGGCGCTCGAACCTCTACGCGTCCCTCCGCACCAACCTCCCGCGCGAGTGCATGGGCTTCCTCGACTTCCCCTTCGTCGCGGGCCCCGACGGCGACCCCCGCAGGTTCCCCGGGCACGCGGAGGTGCTCCGGTACCTCCAGAGCTTCGCGCGGCGGTTCGACCTCCACGGCCTCGTCCGGCTGGAGACGGAGGTGGTCCGGGTGAGCAGGGAGGCGAGCGGCACCAGCTGGCGCGTCAGGTACTCGAGGAAGGCGCCCGGCAGCGAGAAGCGCGAAGCGGAGGAGGAGGTGTTCGACGCCGTCGTCGTCTGCAACGGCCACTACTCCAAGCCGCACTTCGCCGACGTCGCCGGTAACACATTGTCGATCCATTCTCATTCTCCACCGGCAGGCACTCCTGGTGCTGCGCAACGCGTCGCCGATCGAGCTCGTGACAATTTGCTTTGGTGCCGCAGGCGCGGATGCTTGACCTGGGAAGCAGCTGCACAGCACCGGCTACCGCGTGCCCGAGCCATTCCACGGCCAAGTGCGTCCGTCCTTCCGTGTGTTTTTGCCCAGTGATTGTTTTTTTTTTTTGAAAGGCCCAGTGATTGTTTTCTTTTGCACTTGTCCGATGGTCGATGCGATCTGAAGTTTCTCAACGCTCTACAGTAAATTCATTTTGGTTGGCAGGTTGTGGTGGTGATAGGGTGTGGACCGAGTGGCACGGACATCTCGAGGGACATCGCTGGCGTCGCCAAAGAGGTCCATCTCGCCAGTAGATGGGCGTTTGCTGCCACTAGCGAGAAGCTGCCCGGACATGCTAACATGTGGCTTCATTCGGAGGTAAGGCCAACTCCACCGCGCGACCCTATCCTATCGGGTCCTGTCTGTTTGAGGTAAAATGGACAAAAAAGACGGTCCAACGCGCGGGAGCAAACGGATTTTTGTCTGCTTTGTGTCCGTTTTCGAACCATCCCCGGCCCAAACTTGCGCCGGTTTTGTGGTGAAACGGACAGCGCACGGACGGGCGGGACGCGCGCGCTTGTCCTCCCCTGGCCCGCCTGTCGGTGGGAGAAACCAAAAACCCCCCGACGGCCATTTGGCGCCATTTTCCTCAAACCCTCCCACGTCCCTCCACCCCCCCCCCCTCTCTC